CCCCAGTCAGTGCCGGACACACGGACACCAATGGACACACGGACACGGCCCCACGGCTTCCTGGACACAGGGATGGGTCAGCACCGGCACCGACGGACAGACGGACAAGGCCCTGCACGTCTATGGACACAGAGCGGGTCAGCGCTGGACACTGACGGACACACGGACACGGCCCCAGTCAGTGCCGGACACACGGACACCGACGGACACACGGACACGGCCCCACGGCTTCCTGGACACAGGGATGGGTCAGCACCGGCACCGACGGACAGACGGACAAGGCCCTGCACGTCTATGGACACAGAGCGGGTCAGCGCTGGACACTGACGGACACACGGACACGGCCCCAGTCAGTGCCGGACACACGGACACTGCTGGACACACGGACACGGCTCCAGTCAGTGCCGGACACATGGACACCGACGGACACACAGACCCAGTCCCACGGCTCCCTGGACACCAGGTGGGTCAGTGCCGGACACACAGACACCGATGGACACACGGACACGGCCCTGCTGCTCCTCGGACTGACGGACAGACAGACATGGCCCTGCAGGTCCCTGGACACAGAGGGGGTCAGTGCGGGATACACGGACACCAACGGACACACGGACATGGCCCCAGTCAGTGCCAGACACACGGACACTGAGGGACACACGGACACAGCCTGTGGTTCCCTGAACACAGAGCGGGTCAGTGACGGACACACAGACACCGACGGACACACAGACACGGCCCCAGTCAGTGCTGGACACACGGACACTGATGGACACATGGACACGGTCCCGTGGCTTCCTGAACACAGAGTGGGTCAGTGCTGGACACACGGACACCGACGGACACACGGATACCCCAATCAGTGCCAGACACATGGACACTGATGGACACACGGACACAGCCCGTGGCTCCCTGAACATAGAGTGGGTCAGTGCTGGACACACAGACACCGACGGACACACGGACACGGCCCCAGTCAGTGCCGGACACACGGACACTGATGGACACACAGACCCAGTCCCACGGCTCCCTGGACACCCGGTGGGTCAGTGCCGGACACACGGACACCGACGGACACACGGACATGGCCCATGGCTCCCTGGACACAGAGTGGGTCAGTGCCGGACACACGGACACCGCTGGACACACAGACACGGCCCACGGCTCCCTGGACACCAGGTGGGTCAGTGCCGGACACACGGACATCAACGGACACACAGACACGGCCCATGGCTCCCTGGACACCAGGTGGGTCAGNGTCTATGGACACAGAGCGGGTCAGCGCTGGACACTGATGGACACACGGACACGGCCCCAGTCAGTGCCGGACACACAGACACCGACGGACACACAGACCCAGTCCCACGGCTCCCTGGACACCAGGTGGGTCAGTGCTGGACACACGGACACCACTGGACACACAGACACGGCCCGTGGCTCCCTGGACACAGAGTGGGTCAGTGCCGGACACACAGACACCGACGGACACACGGACCCAGTCTCACGGCTCCCTGGACACCAGGTGGGTCAGTGCTGGACACACGGACACCGACGGACACACAGACACGGCCCCAGGCAGTGCTGGACACACGGACACCGCTGGACACACAGACACGGCCCATGGCTCCCTGGACACCCGGTGGGTCAGTGCCGGACACACGGACACCGATGGACACACAGACCCAGTCCCACGGCTCCCTGGACACAGAGTGGGTCAGTGACGGACACACGGACACCGACGGACACACGGACACTGCTGGACACACAGACCCAGTCCCTTGGCTCCCTGGACACCAGGTGGGTCAGTGCCGGACACACGGACATCAATGGACACACGGACCCAGTCCCACGGCTCCCTGGACACCAGGTGGGTCAGTGCCGGACACACGAACACCGACGGACACACAGACACGGCCCGTGGCTCCCTGGACACCAGGTGGGTCAGTGACGGACACACGGACACCGACGGACACACGGACCCAGTCCCACGGCTCCCTGGACACCAGATGGGTCAGTGCCGGACACACAG